CGCAGTGCCCCTGGCAGCGCATAGAGATGTTAAGCGTGGAGGATCGTGCTAGAGTGGTTGAAAACGCTCACATAACGGCAACGCATAGGCAATCATGGAGTCATTATGCGACGAGATAATGCGCTAGCCAGATGGAAGTGCTGAGTGCTGGCATCCACATAATAGTGGCAGTTTGTATAGCAAGAGGCAGAAGCGGGATGCCAGAAATTTGCCAATGGGGCTTAAGACCAGAACGCTGCACACCGAATCCCACGCTTAACCCCTCAACCCCAAGCCTTAGTTCAATTTGCTCCCTCGGTTTTGGAAGGTTACCTGAGAGCGCATGGGGTTCTAGCCTCAGCTTGGCCGTGCTCTCCCAGAGTCTGTGGAGGTTTTGCAACTATCGGGGAACTTTGTTGGCCCTTATATGCATCCAGCCCTGTGACACACCGTATAGGTTTTTCTAGAGTCTCTGAGGGCATAGGCAGCAAAAAATATTTGAGAAGGCATCAAGAAAAATTGCCAAGCATAAAAAATAATTTGCCAAGCATCAAAAACTAACTTGAGCCATAGTCTCTTTCCAACTATTGTTCTTATCAGTCTTGCTACCAATATACGTAATCTCCGTATTCGTACTGTGAGGACTATTCCCCATTCATTTTATTCTTGCTAACGTACAGTACAGTTATCCTCAATGTTTCTTGACGCTTATATGTTTTGATGCAGTGCGCACGTTTTTCACATATCCTGTTCATTTTTTGTCATTTTCTTGATGCTTATCAAATCTTTTCTTGATGCATCACCCCGTCTCTGAGGGGGTTGCCATCAGGAGACGCTGCAAGTAAACTCGTATACCTATCAAGAAACCCGCAGTTACATTTTGTTCTTTCTGCCTGTGATCGAGAGAAGGCTTGCAAATATGCTCTTCATTCGGCAAGGGGTGCCGCAATCAAGCATTGCCCATTTCAGACCCTGGAAGAACCCTAAGTTCGATTGCTACTTATCCCGTCTGAATCACGGGACAAGTAAAGAGGGCCCATCTGTTTTGGAAGGATCCAGTTCAGCAAAACGGCCACCCGAGAGATCTACGCGTTCCTTGCGGGTGCCTCTACTTAGACAAGCCCTTAGCCCTGGGCATTTTTGCTAGACCCTGAATCCAAACCGCGAATCTTATTCTTACCCCATAACTCCCAAACCATTAGCCCTGTATCCTTTTCCCCAATTCATAGAACCCTGAACCTCTTTTTAAGGTTTCTAGGGTCTTGAGAGGTCCGTATACCCATGCAGCATAGACTTGGGCCAGAGTGCTCACATGGGAGCTTCCTTGGGGCACTTAAGTTTCTCCCAGACCCTGAACGTCTTACCCCTGAACCTAAACCCTATCTATCGCGGAGGTGGCAAAACCTTAGCAGCTCCCTTCGGCAATGGGACCCTTGGCATGCAAGGTGTAGCTGTAAAAGCAAACTAGTTACCTTGTTATAGTGTCATCTGGGGGTTCGGGAGCTTCAAGTCTGGGGTGCTACGGTCTGGGTTTGCAGGGTTTGGGTTGGTTTGATGGTGGACAGGAGCTTTGGTTTCAGTTCATGCGCTTGCTGGACCTGTGAATGGCTGTTAAAGTCCCTGACAGTCACAAATCTCGCAGCTGCAAGAGATTCTACTGAGTACCCTTGTGAGCAAATTCGCTGAACCTCAACCCCAAGACTTTGTTTCAAGATCGCAAACTCCTACACCGATTGCAAGGAAGGCGAAAACAAACCTCTGCTGAAAGACTGCGCCGCAAAGGACAAGAGCTCCAAGGCTGTGACGGAGGTGGAAGCTGCAGCCGAGGAGCTGCTGGCGAGCGTTGGCCTCAAAACTTGTTGAGGTTTAGGCTTTTGGCGATTTAAGCTCTTGGCTTTAAGGGTTTTGGTTTGGGCTGCTTTGTAGTGTTAAGGTGTTAGGGTGGAGGGAGTGGAGGTTTGAAGCACGGAGCCAGGATACTTTGAGCCCCCTGTCCGGTTTGACGTCCGAGTAACAGAGATGCTAAATTTATCCTTGAACATGCAAAGCAGGATGTCGTTTCAGGATTACACGGGAATGCTCGGCCACGCGCTTGCTGTCCGCAGTGGATTATCATTCTCAAGCTGTTCATGGGATATTGCATACATTGGCATAAATTCACATGTAAAGTCAACCACGATCAGGATTCAGGGGCCGGGGCGGTCCAGGCTGTCCATGCAGGGAACATCTTCAGCGCTTTTGTCTGAAAATTGTAGGCCCCTTGTACTCACCTTTCCGGCCGTCCTCCTCATTGACGAGTCCAGTGTTTGTGCAAAGGAGCAATCACTGGTTGCGCTCTCGCCCGGTCCTGTTGGCTTCTCGAGCTCTTTATAGGTCCGTTGCAATTGGCTTCGAAATCCTGCTCGTGCCACAGCCCCTTGAGCTGTTGAAGCTTTCTGTCGAACTTTCCTGCGAGGGTCGAACCTCTTAAGAACTTGCTGGCATCGTGGAGCGATCACAGGTGTGGCCTTAGTTAGGGCAGTCATGATGCTTCTTGCGATGCCAATGAACCCTCAAGCAAGGTGGCAACGATGCAGAGGTGCCTTGGGACTTGCCTGATGTTTAAATGTATTTTTTGAAAATGATCCCCATGGAATCGGTCATGGGCACCCCAATCATCTCTTGGTACTTGCCATATACCTCTAGGATGGCTAAGGCCCCCAATTCTGAGAAACCCCATGCAGGATTTGTTCAGACATAGCCTTCCCCCATCTGTCTCCCGCCCCAAGAAATCAATCCACACTCTGACGATCCTGCCCGTTGCAGAGTGGGAAGGCCTAGAGAGTTGATCAAAAAGGGGCCTGACAAATTCGAAAGATTTCTCATTGATGTTTCCTAATGTCATCCCCTCCAACCCATTCCCTCACTGCCCTCTAGCAGCAGGTTGTAGGATACTTGGTTCAGGTCTCTAGGGCTCGGAGAGTTTGGAGTCTCTCAAAAAATAATCATCCATACAATCATTACTTGGAATCTTCATGATCCCCTTGAAGGTCCTATGCAGTAGGTAAGGTCTCGGGTGCTGGGGCTGGAATTTGATTTCCCTATGACCGTGAAACAGATGCAGTGTGAACTGCCGAAAGACAGTTTTGATTATTATGTAGGCCACCATGATTTTTACGAGATGCCTTCGACGGCCTACTGGTAGACGGCCTAAACTCCAAACTCTGGTGCTAAGTCCCGGGAGAATACCATTTTGTCCCTCCGGGTTCTGCCAGGCACTGGAGCTTTTCTCAGAGGCACTAGATCCGCACGGGCCTGAGCCCTTTCGGGAGTTCTTCTGTGTTCTTGTTGCAGTGCTGTGTGGGTTCATGGGAAGAGTTGTCACCGAGGGCCCAAGGCCAGCATCTTCAGGGGTAGCTCTGATAGCATACTACTATCTTCACCGCATTTATGCCCTAATGGGGCATAGATACGGCCAATCTGACGTGCAGAAGATTCGCTTAGGTGTTTTACGGTTAAACTTTAACAATTCCTCAAGAGAGAGGCATTCCCGGCAGTCAGGATGCCTTGCGTCAATTCTAACACAGTCCCCACAGTGCGTTTGTGATCTGATTGCTCATTGCTGGGTCCAGGTCCTAGGCTCTCTTCCATACATCAGAATTCTTCCGAAGAAAGAGGATTGGAAGAATGTGTCAAATGAGGCCGATGGCTTTTTGCAAGCTTTCCGTCGCAGATGTGATCACACAACATCCAAATGTTGAGAAGGGACAGGGGTTGAAGGTAGTTCCGCCTGCGATTGCTTATCCCAGGTGTATACAAGGCTCCCAGACGCTCCCAATGCCTGAAGTTTAATCTCACAACTCTATCCCCCAGAGGCCAAGCCTCAAATCCCAAACCAAATCCCAAACAAAGCTAGGAGTCCTGCAGCCCGATCCCCGAGCCTTGAGAGGTCGCTACAGCGAGGCACTGATTTCCTGAAGCGCTTGGCTCCATGCTTGGACAGCAAGAGTGCACTCTTGATAGAGTCTGGGGTTTAGGGCGGATACTGTAGTTCACTTTGGCTTCAGGTGGGGTTGCGGAATTCAAGTCCGTGGTGTAAGATTGTGGTTTCTCAATGTCCGGGCAAGGAGGGGAGCATAGCCAGCAACGTTCCTTGTGGGAGCAAAGAGGTCTTGCTTTTCAGGCTCAATTTTTTCGGTAGGGTGTGAGGAGTTTCAGTTTTTGTTGATCTGACCCCGCGGTCCTCTAGTCATACATCGATTCTGGACTCGGTCTTGACGCTGAAGGAAGATGTCATCTTGGGAGCGCTCCCCAAGAATAGTGCCATTGGTCGGTAGTGCTCTTGAAGGGAGGGCTGAGTAGTGCTTTAACCTTATCTCGGCCTCCCTCCTCCCTTCGATAGAAATCCTAGGCAGTGCTATGTCAATCTGCATCTTCCTCAATGGGTCCTAAAACATCAAATCGTTTTGTTGAAGTGGGAGCTCCAAGGCCTGTTTCCTTGCACTGCTTGTCACTTTTGTCCCCATCGAGCAGCGGGAGAGAACTACCATGGATTTCCAGTCCCTAGGGCCCGAGAATGTTACTTGAGCTCAGAATCCTGAAGGTGCAACTTCAAATCATTCAACGCCTCTCGTCTGTATCAGCCAAGTACTTGCTTTCATGATGACAGATGAACCTCACCAGTGAAGGTCAGTCAGTTCCCATTAGCCTATGCCCTAAACTAACTAGCTTCGATTAGAGATTAGTTGCCTCTCCTTTCTGGAGCTAGGTAGGTATATAGCAAAACACTAGGGCAGCCTGTCATAGTGACTATGAGGGGCTCTTGTTCCAGAGAGAATTTTCCTTTAGTTGGCCAGCTGACGGGCTCTCATGGACGAACCACAGCAGACCAGCCACAAGACTTCTTCAAGATAGCCTCGTTTTACACTACAGTGGGACCAGATGATTCAGTGTGTTTTTTTCGTCTTAGCGTTGAAGTTGAAGTGTTTTCACGCTTTGTTCTCTAAATAGCTGCGCGTGGCAGCCTATCCGCCTCTGCCATCATGCCGGATCCATTAATGGAGCGTGTGATGGCAGTCTACAAGCCCGGGACTTGGTTGGGCGATTGCTGAAATTCGAGGTTTTCTTGGAACTGTATCCGGGCGAGGGGCTTGCGGAAGTCGTAGGTTGCCGCGAATGTTTTCCAGGGTCACGTGGATTTTGTAAGTACACTTCCCTACAATCTTTTACCAGATATTCCAATTTCGAAGCTACTTGAGAGTTCTCTGGGCCCCCTTCGGGGACTGTCGTGGAGCACCTGCTTTCCAGCAATTTCTGGGTTGATGAAAGGGACGCGGAATCTCGCAGTCCGTATGCCTAGACAAAGCTCACACTGGTGTAGTTGCAGTGCAGCATCCCAAAACAACTGTTGCCTGAAGCATGGTCCCTAACCCTAAGCGCTCAAGCCGAGGGATGTGGACAAGAATGATGACGGCTTCCTGGACAAGGACGAGCTCTCAGCTATGCTCGACGCCGTGGGTATGCCCAAGGACACGTCTACTGTTTTGACCAAGAAGGGCGTTGCCATGTCAAGAGCCCCGGTGAGGCTAGTTGTTATCCCACCAGCAATCTCAAATTTATAGACTGCAAGGACCATAAAACGAAACTTACACTCCAATGGGCAATCCTTCATGCTTGGCTACTTAATTCGTCTGGATGCTTGCCTTGCTAGGTCTAGGTAAGAAATTGCCCGCTGGGAATGAGGAGCGCGCCAGCGCGCTGTTTGACGCTGCAGACGTTGACAAGAGCGGGACGGTGGACTTCGAGGTGCCGCGGGGAGGGGTGCTGTAGGAAGGGCAGGGAGGAATGACACGAAACATTCAAAGGTCCCTAAAAACGCACCCCAGCGTTGCCCTATTTACCAATGAAGGTCTGACTCTCTCCAGGCGATCCTCCAAGTATTCTGCGCAAAGCTACAGGAAAGAGGTACGTGGGCAACCTACGTTTGGCCGGGCACGTATCACTTCAGATATCCCTTCTTCAGCTCCAGAAACACTGATATGCACCAGACGCCCAAACCCTAAGCCCCAACAGCTGCATCCCAACCGTCTGCCTTCAGCAAGACTGGCGCATTGCAAAAGGAAGTAAGGACGATCGGAATGGTGGTTCCAGCTTCGAGGTTCTAGGGTTGCATGGGTATGTCTTTGAAGTCAGGGATTTAAGGTTGAGGGGTTGGGGTTTGGGCTTAACGAGGTTTTCATTTACGAGGCTTGCCGCTTTGCCTGTCTGTGCGCAGGGAGGCGATGCTTAAGGACGTCTGAACTCTGCGCTTCCAACAGCGTTCGTAGATAGCTGAGTCTTAGCCTCCCGTTTCTGTGCACCCAGCCAGCCAAGCCGAAGCCAAGAATGAGAACCCCAAACCATATCAGGCCTCGACTTTTAGGGGGAACTTGAACCATGGATCCACTACCTTGAGCTTTCAGCTAAGAGATCAATTATTGAGAGTAATCAAGACAAGCAACCCATGATCATAGCAGGCTCTAATCCTTTTGAAGCAATGAGAGCTCATACGAACGTCGACACCCAAAGTAAAGTAAGAGCCATACTGCTGAAAAAGCAGGGGAACATACAGCAGCCGGAAGATCATACTCAGTAAGCCTTATCCGTCCTGGAAGAGTAAGGAGTTCTGCACGTGGCTCTTCTCAGACGTGCTGCTCGGCAGGCATGGGCTGGACAGCGGTCACCATGAGTTTGTATATCCTTCCACAGCCCAAGAGGCTCTCGGGAGCTAGGTCTGGAAGTCCTAAACCCCAAAAGCCTTGGGCTTCGAAGCAGGGTAAACAACGTTCAAAGAAGGTGTACCCGCAAAGTTGCGCCGTGAGGGGATCTCCTTGTGTGCCGCTACCCGTACCTTCAGGAATGACCCAAGCATCTGGCACATTACGATCCCAGCAAAGTGGAGCCTTGAAGGGCTTCTGTCATCTGCGCCAGAGAATTGTGCCTGCCAGGCTATAAAAGCCAGCACACGTAGCACATCGCACCTGAGTGATCCCATGCGATTCCTGAACCCCAACATAAGCTACTCGAGGGAGGGGTAGCGAGGCGATTTCCCCCACTACTTGAATGGTGGCATGGCTGTGCTAAATCCCAAGCAGAAAGAGCAGTGTCGACGCCTCCATGGTATCGTTCTGAATTTGGTATTTTCTCTCTATGGGCCACTGTAGTTTGTGCAGCTCAGGAAGGAGGTCATGGAAGTCTGCGTGAAGCAGGGGGACGCTATCTCTTTGTTGGTCAAACTTTATCTTTTTTGCTCACGGAGGAAGTCCCGCACTACCCACTTCCCTTAGCTCCTCAGAATTAAAGAAGTTTCGATTCGTTGCATCGTGCAAGACTTCTTTTTCAGCTGTTTCTTGAATACGGACGGCGGCAAGGAGCAAAGCACCAAATCGATAAGGAAGGGCATGATGTCTTGCTGCTGTCCTAGCAAGAACAGATTCCTTCTCATTAGTATCCCAGAAAGGGTGCTCATAATTTTCAGCCACCCTCATATGCATGATTCGAACCCTCAGCCCCAAATCGACCAAGTCCTGTAAATGAAGTGTAGCGGCAGCCTCTAAACCTCAAAGTAAACCCTCCTGTGTCCCTCTTCACGACTAACTCCTTCAGGAAATTGTCAACAAACATCTAAAACTGGAGATGACTGTTGGGGACGTCCTCTGCTACGGTCTTGATGAGAAGCTGATGCGCAACTTGGCGGGATGCAAGAGGACTTCACAGAGCTTCCGTTGTGGCCCGCTCCACTCTAAGATTTAAAGGGCCTGTAGAACAGGCTTCATCTACATGTCTGGCAGTTTAGCGGGACCTTTGTTTAGGAAATACCCGCGTGTCCCCCATACCATTTCTTTTTGGGCCATTGCAAGGCAGCGAGTTTAGATACGAGATCGCTGTGGAACCCACCGCTGACACGGTCAAGCACCTCGAGTCTAGAGCCAAGTTCTACGCTGAAGAGAAGACGCTGGCCGTTCTCAGGGTCTAAGGGGTGGGGTTGTTGCAGGGTTGGGGGTTTAGGACCATACTTCAGATGGCTTGGGATGTTGAGGTCTAGGCAGACACTTAACCAGCAAGCCCAAGAAGCCCGACATGATCAGACAGACGCCGGGCCAGCAATCCCGCTCCGGTCTCCCTGGACACGGCCTTTGAGAAGAGTTGGGCATCTTAATTGGGTTCCGATGAGACGGTTTTTGGCAGAAGCTGTGTAATTTGCACATGAACAGTCAATGCCCCCAGCATGCGGTTTTTGTCAGTTTCAATCCCACCCAACAGCGAGCATTTGCTGTGATCTTCATGTTGTTATCCCGAGGAAAAAGCAGCAACTCGATATGCTTGAGAAGGGCATTGCAGACGCGAAGGCCTAGAAGACCCCGGGAACTAGACTGGTACGGAGGATTTGCAAGTCAGGTATTCCATTTGGACCGAGTCACAAACGAGCGCGCTCCTGCTCTCAGAATCTTTCAGGTAGCTTGGGTCTCTGCAAATGTCTTGGGTCTTGGGCGTCCTTTGATCGAGGGTTTGGTATTCAGGTGTGGAGCGGCTTAGCTTTGTCTTTTTCGCAATGGCGGGCTATCTTGCAATCTAATCTGGACCCCGAAAAACAAGAGCAGATTGTGAATCCACGAAACTTGGGGTTTGGGGTTTTAGTGCGTTTCCATGTTTGCGCCCATTTGGTCGTAGTTGCGAGACGTCAGATGGATCAATCCAGACGTGTCTCACTCAAGGGTTGAGGATTTTGGGTCCGACAAATCCCTGAACAACCTCTAAAAACATACAGCCCAAACCGCTGTGTACCTTGCATACCCTCTGAAAGCATGCTAGGCAGATTGCTACGTCTAGACTACTCCAACCGATCCAATCATTCCACAACATCGAGCCTTTTCACAGATCTGAGTTTTTAAGGAGTTCATATCTTAGTGTGAATGTCATTGAGTACCGCACCCCAGAGATGCTGAACCCTGACAACCCAACAATTTGCTAACAAATTTTGTTGTTTGGAGGCACCTGACTTTGTGCCTAAGCCCCCATGTCAGTATGTGCGATTTCTGGATGCCTGGGCACGGCAGGCATGCGAAGCCCCGACCCCAAATTCCCAAAAACTCCTACCCTAAACTCCAAACCCAACCCCCCCAAAATCCTAAACCCAACGCAGACCTTAAGCCCAGAACTCTTTAAGCCCCCAGACCCTGCACTATGCCTATTTGAGACATCCTGCGCCCACAGGCGAAGCTGGAGGCCGCCAAGGCGAAGGCTGCCAAGGCCAAGCCCAAGGAGCCTTTGGAACTAGAGCAGCGTATTGGGTCCTTAGTAGAGAATTTGGGAAAAACTCTTGGGTTTAGGGGTTAGGGTCTACGGTTAGTAGGGAACATGGGAATAGGGATTAGGGGTTAGGGTTTAGGGTAAGGAGGGAAATATGGGAATATGCTTTTTAGGGACTATCTGGGGAATTATGTTCCCTTATTCCCTACTAAGAACCAGAAAGGTGACTTGGGTTTGAGGGCTTCAGGGATTGGGGGCTTTGGGGTTTCAGGGATGCAGGGTATCAGGTCCTCGGGTATCGGGGCCTTGGGGTCTTTAGGGGGTTTTAGGGGTGAGGTGTTGTGCTTAGGGATCTAGGGAAAGTACTGTTGATGTAGGTGGAGGTTTGATGTGTTATCTAAGGCTCAGAAGGATAATGCCAGAGTTGACCGACGAAGATGCTTCGACCCAGGAATTTCAAGATGGCTACATACTCCTCGCAAAGTAGCGCGATCCATTCCCCTCGCACATAATGCTGGATCCCTACGCAAGCACCAAAGCGCCTCTGGGTTGTCATTGGTGGCAATGCCAAACCATCACAATGATCACCAACAATAATACCAAGAACATGGCATGGAACCTGATTTGTCTTGTTCTGATGATCCGGTTCTCATGAGTAAGACAGGAGAAGGCCTACTCCCATTTACAAAGTTCCCGGAAACCTTGATCACACTCGCCATCGTCTCTTCCCCATTGCACGCGTGTGTGTGTGTGTGCGCTGCCAACTCTAAACATGTTCGGTTGATGGTTTAGTTTAGACTTGCATGTGTTTTGTTGTTTTGGGTATGTGGTTCGGGATTTTCAGGCTGCAGGATGTTTTCTCTGAAGGATTCTCCCAAACCACGGAAGCTGAGGTTCAAAAGGAAAAGTGGTGGCACCCAAAGGCCCAATCCCCAATGCTTCAGCCTTTAACCTTGACCCTCTACATTGGAAGCTTCCAAGCACCAGAATTTAGACCCGTAAGCCTGGAGCCCGGAGGATGCCAAGGAGGGTAAGGATGGCAAGGACGGCAAGGACTCTTGGTATGCATGTGGAGGATGACTCCAACGTGGTGGTCCATGATGGGATGAAGGGACCTCTCAATGTGTGAGCTTACATGAGGTTGTGAGGTAATTCCTGCCCCTCCCACAAGGGCTGGGCGACTGCCCACCCCAGGATGCTGCCCACTAGTTGAGATGACAAAAGGCTAGTCAGTGTCTCAGTTTGTTGTTTACATCGAGCAAAGTAAAGTTTTCAGAGTAGATTAGAATCCCTTGCTTGGGTCTTCACCCTCACATGTTAAATCCCTAGTTCCTCTTGCTTCTTTGGGGCGAAGGAGGCTTGCGGAGGGGTCGCCAGGACGGGAGGCACAGGGGAGCAACTCGAAAAGTGTTTGGTGCACCCACTTCCAAAGTCGCCGTCGAAGCTAAACAGGCCCCATTCGAATGGTTGCCAACCTGGACTCGCCAAAGAAGCAGGGGATGGCTCCGAAGCCAAAGCATGGATCCTCTCCCTGGGGCACCTCCGCGGGAGAGCGAAGTGAGATGGAGCCTGTGCCAAGACTGTCCTCGCGCAGGGCTCACCTCCAGGGATTGACCATGCTTTGGTTTGTTTGTAAGCAGGTATTGAAATTTCTGCGGAATCCGTCCTGGGCTGAGAATGGATGCAGAGGCATTTAGTATACTTGAGTGCAGACTCCATCAAGCGCCTGCAAGCGTTAGTTTCGTATCACGTTCAGTTCTATCCTCACACTTGTGATATCCTAGACCCTACATCCTAAGGCCTGCCCTAAACCCAAAAATCCTTAAGCCTCAAACTTGAAGCCGGCGACAATGCCTCCCAAGGATGCCAAGGCAGAGCCCACCCTGGAGGAGGTGCAGGTCGTAGAGGCGGAGAAGAAGTTGGCGGCAGCCGAGAAGGCCGGGGCACCGGGGGGGGGGTGAGGGATGATGTGAGCCATAGTCTAAACTCCTTAAAGGGGTTATATAACGGATTATACAGGGGAAGATTATAGATTATAGCGGATGTTAAGGGGACACTAGGAGTTGGGACTGTAGCTCATGAGGGGGAAACGCAGTGCGGTACAGTGATATGGCCATGTGGTCATATAGCTCTATCATAGTCGTAGTTTGGAAATGGAGTCATGAAGTAATGTCATAACTCAGCAAGGTAGTCATGTAGCGGTATAGTAGCGGAGTAACATAGCAACATAAGAATCCAGAATATGGAGATGCAGCAAAATAGTCGTACAGGTATTTTAGCACAAGTCATAGGGTGATAGTGATGGCGCACACGAGGGATAACTTTCTGATAGTAATATAGCCGTATAATATTATAGCAGTATAGCAATACAGTAATATAGTAATATAGTCTTACAGCAATATAGTAACAGTAATGATGTAGTAGTAGTAGTAGTAGTAGTAGTAGTAGTAGTAGTAGTAGTAGTAGTGTTGTAATGTTATATAGTAGAAATGCAATCGTAATATAGCACTATTTTAATGATGCAGGAGCACTGCAGTAGTAAAATAGCAGTAGTGTAGTAGCAATGTAGTAGGAATGCAGGAGGAAATGTAGCAACAATGCAGTAATATAGTAGTGATACAGAAGCAATATAGTAGTAACATAGTATTTCAAGAGGATTCAAGCCCCCAGAAGGCCCTAGACCTTCAATCCCAATATCTAGACTAGACTCACAGCCTAATTCAGGTTGACCTGCATCGGTTCTAGGAACTCATGAGGATTGTGAGAGTTTACAGAGGTCCCACTGAAGCGGTATATCGGTGAGAGGCTCCTGAAATACACCCATGGGTCAGGATGATCCTTGCTTAAACCCGCTGAAGCCCGGACCCCCAAAACCCTCATATGCAACCCTAAATCCCAGTACCTAAACCCCGTTACCCCCTGAATCTGCTGAACGCAGGAACCCTCAAACCCCAAACCCCAATAGCTGGAATTCCTAAGCTCTGGGAGAGGCCAAAGCGAGGATGGAGGAGACACCTGCAGAGGTCCAGAATGCGCCCTTCCTGGACAAGGCAGGAGCTGTACCTGTTGGTCACAGAGCTCAAAGGGCCTTTGGGTTTCTAGAGGGATTCCCACGCAGACATGGAGCCCCCAAAAGGTCCTAAGAGCAGTACAGTCCTTTGCAAGGTGCAATTACTATATTTCATGCTTCTACAGAGAGTCTCTGCTCATCTCAGGCTGTCTCAAACTTGACGTTCAATCTTTGTATTTGCTTTGAGGAGATCCCAGCCGTAAAGCTCCAACTTTCATTCTCAGTGGTTCTTTGCACTCAGCTACCAGGTTTGGGGGGACCTTCACTTAGGTTTCCCATGCCCTTTCTTCTTTAAGCTTGAACCCCCTCAAGTGCAAACACTGGATGCCGACCAAAAGCTTTGTTGGCAACATGAACTGGTAACCTTTATAGCTCCTGAATCGTACGTCAAGCCTCTGCCATAGGAACAGATACCCTATCGTGGCATGATGGGTGTTGAGCGTTTGAGCATGTGAGCTTGTACCCGTACGGCTTAATTGTTAAAATCTGAACGAGGTCTTGGATGCTCTTGTGGCCGTGGAAGACATCTCCTCAGGTCGTAAGTCGGCATTTGGAGAAGTTGGCAAATTCTTGGTACTTTTGCCGGCTTTAGGCAAATTTAGAGGTTGTTTTTGTTCGTGTATACGGTTGACCCTTAGTCTGGAGATGGGGCTAAGATGGCTAAGAGGGAGGATCATCGGGATCGCTCTGGGCAGGTTGCGGGGGATGGAAGTTTCCAGAAATAGGTGGCGGCCCTTACATAGTACAGTATACTAGAATCCTAATTCTGGGAGGGATCCCAATTTTTAGTTCACCCTATGTGGGATGTGGGGCTACGGCCGAGGGCTGAGGAAATCGGGACTTCCTGCCTGAGCCTGTTCGGCTTGTGGAGATTTTAGGACTGAGGAATGGTCAGAGGGTTTTCCCTGGATGCTGCTGCTCTTCAGGGTAGAGAAAGCGATGCAAGGCATATCTTTGCGTGATAGAGTCTAGAGATGTAATCGAACGGTTCTTGTGAAGTTATGCTCCTAAACTAGTTGCTCAGTCCCCAAGATATATACTCTTTCGTCAGTTTCTCCTCAAGATCCTTCATCCAAGAACAAAAAACCTACTTTGCCTCGGAGCACCCTAACTCCGATGAAATGCCCCAGGAGATACCCCAAGTCTCCATCCAGGCTCCTCGGGTGCGCACGTCATCAAGTGGAAAGCCAAAGAAGAGGGCACGGCCGTAGTGAGGCTTAGCGGCATTGATCCGCAAGGGGTTCTTTGTGGTCTTTGCGAGGGAGATTGTTTATTGCGTGTTGTGCACGTAGGGATAGAAATTGTCAGCCACCATCTGGATCGAGGCTTCAGCCTGACTCCTGGGATCGAGCAAGAAGCCATCAGAAGAAATGGCAGCGAGGGGCCTGAAATGGGGAAGAGCTTCGTTCTCTCACAATCCACCTCCAGAGGAGTCGTTCCTGGAGGTATGTAGTACCAACAGGTAGGCACCAGTTTGGATGATAGCGCTATAACTCGCATCTCCTAGAAACAGCTCCCAGAGTGAATATGCAGCCTACACTTACCGAGCGCCTCCCAACCTCATCGACATCCGCCCAACTCCACGGATCTCAGGAAGGTCTCGCAGTACTTCACTGTTGCCGCATCCTCAGTTGCACAGATTGCGCCAGGCCATCCAGAAACCAGTTTCAGGATCATGTTTACGTGTTTGCGCACGGCAGAAGGGATGCAGCACATTTCCAGGCTGAGTGCCCCTCGGCGATGTCGCGCTCAAACAACGTCTAAAGCCCCGTAGGCACCCAGGCATTCCACTCCCTATTCCAACAATCATCCTAGTAATCACCAAACCAGTGGATCAACACTGCAGTTGCTTTTTGCCACTTTTCGGGCTGCCTCAAGGCATAGAAGCTGACTTGTTACAATGGTCAGAGTTCATAATCCAGGAAAGATCCCGCCCCCCTCTAAGAACCTCCACATGGTGCCCTTCGTCAGGTTGAGGGTCCGGAGGAAAAGGAGGTTGAGAAGGCCCGGTTTGCTGCCGAAGGTTTCAGTGCATGCTCAGAAATTCAGAGTGTCATGGAATGGAGGCCTTCGCCCCAAGCCCTGAGACCCTGACCATTCCCAAAAACCACGCCCCATAGAACTAATCCCTGAACGGTTTTTGTCTAACCCCTAAGGCCATAGAAGTGAATCAGTGCAAAGCTGCAGGTGGAGACCTTCGATTTCACAGTGACCATTGTCCCAGCCAGCTCTTCCAGCGCGTGCCGGGGCTTCAACTTGATTGGAGTTTTCCCCACACCACAATCAGAGAGTTATGGTACGGGTCCTCAAATTCAGGTTCTGATCTCCAGGTGCTTCATCCGTTTCGGCCTTTCGGGGAAACACAACTCCAAGATTGAGTTTCCACAACCATGCGTTGTCTAGGGAACCCAGTAAATGTTGTTCTTCAAGGATCACCGGGGGCTTTGGATTTCAATGCGGAGCAAAAAATGCCAGACCTGCACTTTCTTAGCTCGTGACAAGGGGCTCCTGCAGAGTTTATAGAGCGAAAGAGGGCCTCATGAGCTTTCACAGTGTCCAGTCTTGCGCCTATTTACACGTACAAGCATGCTCGCCAAGAGAAAGCACTGTTCATGCAACCTTTCATGACGAAGCGGTCTCTCCAGACACCGCCAGACACCCAGTCGCAGCACTAGTCGCAGCATCGCACTGCTTTGTAGTATGCGGGACTTCTACTTTTTTGATGCTGCCTAGCTGCACAGGACGTCCCAAGCAATCCACCACCCCCATCTGCCAGCCTTGACTGGCAATGGGAGGCAGCCTCGGTCACATCGACATGACCCAGGACAATTTCATTCATAGGTTCCCGAAGTATCCACCCTTTACTTGCAACACCCTCCCTGAAGGTTCCCCGCTTAACGGGCCACCAAATAAAATTGACTAAGGCAAAGCCTTGCCGGTTTGGTGGAGTAGCTACAAAATCCAATGAACTGTGTCCGCCTAGCTGGTCGGGGAACACGTAGATGAACAGCAAGACTCAAGCTCCATAGACTGCAAGCCTACTGTGATGCGGACACAGGATATATCTTGAATCAGGACCGGCGAATACCTTACATAGACATGCGTGGGGTTGCATGATAATGTTTATTACATGGAGCGAAATCAGCGTAATTCTAGATCGAGGCGTTGCAGTTTATGGCAGAACCTGTTTTCCATCGAATACAAACTTCTGTAGTTTGGAGGAAGTGGAATACTTTTTCTCAATCCCGAAGACCATCCCTGCTTTGAGAAAGCTCAAAAACCTAGACCCTATTCCCTAGTCCGCGAGCTCTGTAAATGCTAGACTTCAACCAGATTTCTTGCGCTTAGGAAGGCGGACTGGTACGCTTGGAGTTGGTACGACGTCAAATGGGTCAAGGCTCCTGCGAACAAGGCTGGGCTGCTCTTTCCCAGCAGCGCGGGATAGTGTAATTTCTATTGTTACAAAAGTTGCATTTATTGCTATTCATATTACTACTATTATTACCATTTCTGTTGTTACTATTATTACTGTTCTTACAATTTTCACTTTTATTACTATTATTCTTATCCCTGTTTTTATCGCTATTGTAGAGTATCTGTGGAGGTAGTGAGGGGGGTCCTTGTTGGCAGTAAAGGCTCCACCCAGTGCGATGGGCACCTCTCGAAAAGGTGGTCCCCTTCCAAATGCCCAAACAGAAAAGTCCATATGTCTAGCACTCAACAGTTCAGATGATGCAGACGCAGGGTGTTTCTCAGTTTTTAGCGCAGTTCGTGTGGGTTCTCTTTGAGATGCAAGGTTGGCACCGGCTGTAGGAGATGTACATGGTACAGAGGACGCGGATGCTTTTTCATATCTCGATTGGCTAGCATGCTAGCTTGCTTTCTTAACTGGAACTATCATGGATGTTTTTCGTCTAGGTTCTCTAGTTGACCGAGAGGTTTTTGGAGTAGTCGCATCCGCTGACTTTGGCCACTGGCCTTTGGAATTGCAGGAAGGGCCCACGCGATCAAAAAACATGGAAGCATTCAAAGGAACTGGATTCATGTGTTGAATTGTTGGAGCTCCAACTCGTGCAAGTAGGGAAGATATCTTGCTGCACTTACGTGGCGGATGCGTGCGTGCATTCGTACCGTTTTGCCATGTCCAGCTCCAGCAGCTTTGATTGCACTTTCGAGGCATAGGATGCCGTACGATTTGCGTATGCCAGGGGCCCAATAATTTCGGAACTCCTGTTACACATCCCACAGCACATGCTAAAGCATTTCATGGCACAGCCCGGTAGATGCAATGTGCAGACCCTGGACATCAACTCTTTGGACCTGAAAGTTGAACTGTTGATTTCGAAATTCCACACGCCGCATTAACCCTGACTGACCGTCAAAGACAAAACCATCGTGCTCGCATGTGTAGGCAGACAAGTTTGCCAAGAAAATGGGCCGCGCGGCTCAAGAGTCTTGGCAGAAAGGACATGAACATGAAACACAATCTTTGGCATTCCGCCCCAAACACGAAACTTTACGCTAAAGCTTTAAAACCTGCTGCGTGTTGTTCCGTTTCAAGCAGCTTAGCAGTTTTAGCCAGTTGGCTATTGATTGCAACCCCGCAGGTGTAGGCAGATGGAGTTACAGGCAAACCTGGAACTTTTGGTGGGTCCCCACATTCCCCAAAGTCGTGGGAGGGGCATTTCAGAGCTCAAACCTGAACAAAATCCATTTTTGCCCTGAGCTCAGAAGCCCAGGAACTACAATGGGTGCCAGCCGTCTTTGGTCCTAAGAAGGAGAAGCTGCGACTTGACCTTAAGTTAGGAGTTTAATTTCTGCGACAGGGAGCCTGATTGCGAGCGAATCGCCTTTCCAGATCGAGTGGTAGAGATCCTTTGCTCCCTTTGCTGCCACTTGTAAAGTCAGGGTCACAATGCAGGTCTGGTGATGGTGGGTCCGTTTCTCATGAGCTATCAGTTTGGCATAGGCCGAAAAATTGCTGGAGGTGAGGTTTGAATGTTGGACTGTGCTCGGCTGACTGCTAACTTGCTTTCTACGTTCTCCGGGTTCTCCCCTAATGAGGAGCGAAAGCTCCAGCAGAATGGACATTGCGGGTTCCAAGTGATGGGCTCGATGGTTTGGCAGTCAAGTTTGACAGTTTTTCAAGTCATGTGTCCGGACAACAGGGGTTGAAGTTGAGGGTTGAAGGGCTCTGAGGTCGAGGGAGAACCTGTAGGCATGCCCGTTTGGGACCTTTGCTCTTCAGGCCAGAGCCCGAATCATTGAAACCCCCCATTGCTGAGGCACACTCAGCTCACCTGGTGTTTCAGTCCGAAAGTCTTGCCGAGTAAATGAGCCCGTGGGTCAGCTGTGGACAAAGGTTCCCAGAGTCCACAAGCGGCCACAAAAGTCATTTAAACACCTCCCTGAAGGGCAGTTGTTCGTTAGGGTTGATGTAGCTTAGGTGGTGTAACGCATTTTAGGGCTGTACAGCTTGAGTGGTTACGGTGTGCGCGGGCAATTGAGTGTCATTTAAGCCCATGCAGCTGCTACATATCGGTTATAGGTGTATACACTTAAAAGTAGGGTTTCACCTTCCTAGGGCCAGCAGCAAGTGCCAGAGGACGTCTGCAAAAGCAGATCGGGTCCTACAGCGAGTTCAAAAATCGGGGTCCCTCTTTCAGAGCTAGTTATGGTGACCTTTGCATTTGAGTGTACTTGTCCAGGGGCCCCTGATTTTTGGAAGTTACGAAGTCCCGCTGTCGGCCTTTGGAAAATCTGCATGCGAGAGTGCACTGTGGACACCAGCGCAGATCCATACAACCGCAAACTCACCCCAAAGAGGAAGATCATGATTTGATTTAGGCGACATCTGAATGTACTGGGACTAGGGTTTTTGGATGGTGCACGGAGTTGGAGATCCGGGCCCTTCCCCGGCTACGGCAGGCGTTAGCTAGTGAAAAAGCAGCAAACCCTGGCTATGTGTAAGCTCCTTCATGTCATCAGGACAGCACCCTATCCGAGATTGCCCAGAAATCTGGTTCAACAATCTTGAACCATGCTGGGTCAACGACGAGGACATCCATCCCGGGAGTTTCCCAAACAATCTATGACTTCCTCTTGTAGAGTCAGTTATAAGGCTTAACCTTCTATGTTATCCAAGTTATGAACATGACAGGGCTTCTTGCTGAGGTCCCTTCTACCTGCAGTACCGGCTTGGCACCCTCAGGATGTATCCGCCATGCAATCACCGCCGCAAATCAATCCTCAACCCTCGACCCTGAACCTCAAACCCTGAAGCCTGAAACTTGATCCTGAACCCAACCCTGTGTAAATCTAACGCCTGTTCACACCCAAACCTAAACTCCAAATCCTCAAGCCCTTAGCCCGGCACGAGATTTCAGAGTTCAAGGCCTTGACGGAGGGTGCAAAATGTCGCTGCGATGCCGTTTGGTACGGCGACACGCGGCCCTGGCATGTTGTTAAGGTAAATTCAATCGTAAGTGGCGGTGAATGGCAGGTCTCAACGGTAGGACTTTGGAACCAACAAGTAGAAAAGTATGGTATGGGGACCCCAGGGAAGAAAAGCAACCGGGACTTTCAATACAGATCCGCAGCTACAACAGAAGCCTACAGAATCACTGGGAATAATCGTTCAGCTTGTGCCCTCATGTTTCTTGTTTACTCGTTCTGAACCTGTCCACACCGTTTTTCAGTTTTGTATTCTGACTTTCATGCTGCACGTTTTGCACCTGAGTGTGCGATACAAGGCGAGCGGGAGCTTGGTTGCACCACGTTGTTTCAGCGGATATCCGTCACATGATGTGCCCTTTCCTCGAAGGAGAGGGATTATGATTCAAGGTCATCTGCAAGTGCTTGTCTTGCGGATCCCCTCCGCTCAGCATAGTATGCAGGATATGCAGCAAGACATGGCAAGATCCTACCTCGCTTTTTGTTTATGTGTTTCTTGGGACTCTACGGTACTAATACGCTTGACGCTAAAACAAGCTGTCACAATTGAAGCGTGGCAAGGCAACACACAGCACGGGCGATAGTTCTTAATGGGTGTCATTGCCGGGTGCCTTGACTATTACCCAGAGGCCCTTTTGCTTAGCATTTTCGTGTTGTCAGCATGTGTCCATGCGTCAGGGTGAAATAGGTTTTCCTGAAATCCCTCCCAGCATAACTGTAAGATGTTTACCTTGAAGGTGAGCAAGAACATCAGTTCAGACTTATCTGAGGGCTGTTTGAATGTAAA